ACATACCATTTCCGTTCTACGACAGTTTCAATTCAGCTGTTTAACTCTTCCACTTCTGCTTAAGAAATTTGAATTAGCCGTGATGCAGTGCAATTATTAGGTAACTATTCAAAAGGAAACATAACGAAATATCCATTTATCACTTAAGCACATTTGTTTTTATTAACACTTAAACTTTATGTGTTTACATTATTCCAAAACAAAAAAAAACCTAGCATACTGTATGTACAGAACAGTACTGATACATTACAACAGCGGCTCAATGTGGCGACCACCAACGTTCTTACAGACATTGTACCTACAAAGCATGTTCTGGTACACACTCTCCATCCCACCTGGTGTCTCTTCAATTTCTAGTGCAGCAGCCATAACTCGTGCCAGCAGATCTTCCTCTGTTTCTACAGGAGTCTCGTAAATTAAACTTTGCATACGACTCCACAAGAAGTAGTCCATAGGAGTTAAATCTGGCAATTGCAGTGGGCACACGGTTGGATCACCTCAGCCTATCAATCTTTCACCATATCGTCTGTTGAGTTGTCTCTGAACCGCACGTGAGAAGTGAGGTGGTGCACCATCATGCGGAAATCACATTTCCTGACAGACATTCAGTGGCACAGCTTCCAAGAATGGGTCCAATACATTTTGTAGGAAAATCAAGTATACAGGACCAGTTAGCTTGAGTGGAAGGAGGTATGGCCCAATCACATGACTGTCCAGAATACCTGCCCACACATTAATACCAAACCGATGCTAAAATCCATGAACATGCATGTGGCATGAGGGTTTTCATTAGTGTTGTAACAAATAGTATATTCAGCCTCAGACTGAATACCGAATATTCAGCCAGGAGCGTGGCCAAATAGCCGAATATTCGGCCAAACTATTCGGCTTGATTAACGCACGTACGAATATTGGGGCGCAAACCGCATTATGGTAAGGACCCTGCTCTCTATTGGCCCGCTGTCACTACGCTTCGCCAATCGCGTTAATTCTTGACAGTTGTAGCGGACAGACAAGAATGTATGTGATAAGTGATGATATCAAATGTGGATAACATTGAAATGATCTACTCGTGTAAATAACGGAAAAAGAACAGAGAAGGTCCGCAAAGTGAAAATGTGAAAATAAATATGATATTGAGTTGATAGCATAATCGAACAAGTCGAAGCAGCTTATTGCGCAAAATTCGCGGCCGTCAATGCCAAACAGTTGTCATAGACTTCGGAAAGCTAAATGCTTGTAATGAAAGTCACTTAGCGTGCACGGGCGAAAGCCTGCGGCCGTTTGGTCTACCAAGCTGTATCGAATCTGTGAAATCATAACTGTGACTACATCCTATCTGTCTCTTTTCTCTGTTGTCACCAGGCTATGAGTCACGTAATTGTAAAATTGGAAATCTACGACGGAAAAGTGATGAATCAAAAGTATCGTGAGCGCGTTTTATAATGTATGCATACATGGACTACAGTGAATAGAGGAAAGAGAAAGGGAAGAGCAAAGACGAGCACTTAAAAAGAAGGATAGGCAGGGTAAGACCCTCAGATGTGCAACGATTCTCGAACGAATAGATGTGTATGTCTGCTGATCTTTGTAATTATAAATTGTGAATACATGTGACTAATATTATTTTCTTTTTTATTTTGTGCATGTTAAAGTTATAAACATAAACAAACAACATATAAACAAATAAATATAAACAAACAACACTAACCCGATAACATTAAATCTAAATACCAAAACGATTAATTTACTGTTTTTTTGTTATTTCTTACTCCTGTTTTTAGGTATTCGGCCGAATAGTAACCGAATATTCGTTACATCACTAGTTTTCATCTGCCCAGACATGGCTGTTTTGCAAATTCAGAACACAGTCCCTAGTGAACTTACATTCATCTGTGAACAGAACTCGACGTGGAAACAGGTGTGTCGATGCAGAAGTGCAGAAACCACGTACAGTAGGCAATGTATTGTGAAAAATCGGCTGGACCCATAGTGTGTACCCTTTGTAAGTGATACGGATGTAATTGTTGCTCATGCAGAATGTCCCAGATGATACTGTGACTAACACCCATTGCACGCACAATTGTTCGAGTACTCATCGACAGGTTCTCTTCAACATGATGCAGTACATCATCTTCAAATTTGGGTGTGCAGCATTGCTGTGGAGCACCACAGTCCTGCCTCTTCATGGTAAAGGTAATGTACCTGTTTCTTGGAGCTGCTACATAACTTGGGCAAAAAGTTTGTGCGATGGTATGCTACAGTGCAGAAAATGTTTGTGATACAACTGACTAGCAGTTCTTCTGTTACCTTATGCTTCACCATACACAAAAAGCATGTTTGTGTATTCTGAAAACATGTACCAAACCATGTTTACTGTTATCGGAGATGCACAGGCAGTCTTGCAGCAAGGAAGACATTAACTGACATCAGGTGACCATCTGACGTAGTACATGTTATCCTGTCTACCCTATTGCATACCAGGACAAGCAACTCTGAGACTTTTCTCTCTCCCTCAGCAGAAGTGAAAGAGTTAAACATCTGAATTAAAACCATCGTAGAACGGAAACGGTACGTTTCCGGACATGGGTTCCTGATCAAAATATTATGTACTCACTCCCCTCTAAAAGTCCTAGAAGTTTGTAACGGGAATTTCTGAACACCCTGTATATTTGAAAGTATATATGCAATCAACATATTCAATGTGTTTATAGAAATTGGCATACCTAGGCAAACACATGCAACTTCTGGGCAGTTCGTAAGTGAAAGGTTAGAAAATCCGTTAAGTAAAATGTAAATTTTAGCCAATTCTGAGTAAAGTTAATTTAGGGTAGATTGAGGAGCAGAAGCCCAAATGGAAAGAGCATAGTCTATTACAGACTGTATGTTGGTGAAGAATAATTCTCTTCAGTGTTTTTACTACAAATTTTTTAGTTTCATCAAAGTATTCCCCTACAAATTGAGACTTGTTTAATTGAATTTTCTATATGCAGTTTGACAGAGAGTTTTGAATCAATTATACACAAATCCTAAACTGTGTCAACTATTTCCAATCATTGATTATTGATAAAAAAGGTAATGCAAGTTGGTGCTCTCACCAGGCATTATTTTAGTTTTGGTAGAATTTATTTATAAATTTAACTTCTTAAGTGAGGTATTAAGTTTTGTAATATCACATTGTAATAAATAATAACAGCTATTGGCAAGTTTATCATCATTGGCATATGTATTTGTGAATGAAGAAGAAATACTAGAAAGTGTTATTTATATACGCTGTGAACAGTAGATTATGAAGGATTGAACCAAGGTATTTCAGTGGTAAAAAATGCAAAAATGAAAAATCTAAAATCTTGATCTGACAAGTATGTAATAGGAAAAAACTTGTTATGCCAAGTCAAAACAATGCCGTCGATTTCAAATTCAAAAGATAATTTGCATGACAGAATATTTAAAACAACAGAATCAAAAACTTTTGCAATATCGATGTATGCCACTTAGTAAGAAGTTTTAACTTGAAATTTGATAGAATGATATGCTAAATTTCAAGAAGATTGCTTGTAGTAGAGCAATGTTTTATACCAGAATGTTGAACAGGGCATAAACAAGAGATAATAAGGAAATAGATGATTTTATATAGGCAGATTTCAAATAATTTCAACATGGCAGAGGCTAAATAAATTGGACAATAAGAGTTAATTAAGTCCTTTTTTGGGACAACATAAACGACTGAATGAGTCTATTGAGCAGGTATGTAGCTGAAGTCCAGAATCTGGCAAAATAGGTGAAGGAAAATGGAGGCAGACAGGTGCTAATTTCATATTTAAATGGAAGGAATACTATTGGGATTATATGTAGAAGTAAAAAGCAGTTATATATCATCAGAGAGAAAATAAAAAAGAAAATACCACTAAAAAAAGTAAAACCTAATTGATTAATATTCATATTTCTTACACTTAGCAGTTGATACCATGATTCAGGATGTAAATTAAAATAGCATGATTTAATATCATTAAATATGCTATATTCATTATCATCTTCAATAAGATGACAACGTTTTATTTTAGATTTAGAAAATCTAGGAACTGTTTGCCAAAAAGTTTTAGGATCATGTGCAAAGTCGGAAATAATTCTTTGGAGGTCATTTAAGTATTGAAGTGTACTTTCTCTTTGATAATGTCTAATAGTATAATGGTTTAGATACAGGGTTTTGGAATTTTAAAAATAGCCCTAAAAATATATAACTTTACAAATGTTCTAAAAATAAAAATTCTTTAATTGTATACAGTAGAAGAATAAAGAATTTTTAAAATGTGTTAGATTGGTCACTCCATGTGATAAACCCGTACTAAGATAACCTTTGTAGTTAAATAAATCAAATACAGTAGAACCTCGAAAACTCAGCTCTCGATAACCCGGCACTCCAGATAACTCAGCCACACCCTGGCAGGGCAAAAAAATCCTTAGTTAATTAATTTTCATTACAGACAGCTTTATAAAAGTATAAACTCTCATAAAGTATTTTTCTGAGGTCTGTCTTATCAGGTAAATTACTGTACACAGTGTATTCATTAATTTTCATTTTCATGTAGTAAAGGCTCTATGCCTTCATAAAGGACGTACTTTTCCTTTNTTTAACGATACAACAGTCTTCGTTAGGCTTAACATCGACAAAAATTCAACACAAAGCGTCACGCAACGGAGAAAAATTTCAACATGGGATAGGTTAATATATTTTTTTGTACGTAATCGGTTATCCGAAATATTGATTTTCCGAACAACCCCAGTCCCCAATTGATTCGGATAAACGACACTCTACTGTACTTTAAATTTTTATTAACAAATAATTTTTGTGTCATTCACACAAGTGTCCATAATTAGAAAGCAAAAATATTTACTAAATAAATTTTCTTGCTAATTAACTAAGTCAAAATTATAACATAATAGGAAATGAATAGATACAATGACTGTGACTGATGCAATAATTAGAATATTTTAAATACCCTTCCGATGGCCTACGAAACATCTCTATTCTTTCTTGTCGTGTTCTTCTTCGTGGTCTTCTAAATATACAACGCCTACGCTGTGAAAATGGTAGCATGGGTGAGACAGAAGAAAACGATGGTCCACCTGATGAAGTACCTGGAGTTTCCATATCTTCATCTTGGTTTCCATTTCCCTGTCTTTGTTCTAGAGCCACTCTTTGCAAAAAGTCAATTACATGGAACACCTGCAACACAATATTTTATAAAAACATTATGCAAATGTTTTAAAACTCTGTGTTTGTTTACTAAGCATTTATAGACTTTTACGCACATCTCTTGCACTTGCCGGAGGCTGTAAATCATTTAAGTCGTCCTCCTCCGATTCTTCGCTAATTAAAAAACAAAATTTTGTGTAATTTAAAAAATTAAATTCTTACTACATTGAATTTTTTACAATGCAATATGAATTGAAAATAAATTTCCATATAATAGTTCATATAGAATAAATGTTGATTAGATGATTTTGATTATTAAAAAGTATCTAAAAATTTCTATATACAAGGGTAATCCCAAAAGAAGGTCTCCTATTTTTTAGAAATACAAAAAACCATTTATTTTCAATAATTTTTACATCATTTTAAAGCTTGAACATTTATCTATTTTTTCACATAATTGCCATTTCAGTCAATGCACTTTTGTAGGTGCTGTGGCAGTTTTTGCATGCCCATGTCATACCAGCTTGCTGCCATGTCGTGAGACCCATCTTTCTCACACCTTCCAATAATGCAACTTTTTCCTTAAAATCTTATGAATGGTGCTTCGGGAAACCCGGGAACCAAAATGCAAAGATCATCCAGAGTGATCTGCCAATTATCACGCATGGTTTGCTCAACCTTTGCAACTGTCTCGTCAGAAATTGACAGTCTCCAGTTTCTTTTTTGTCATGAATTTCATATGACCAGCTGCAAACTCCCTACACCACTTGCAGATGTTTTTGACATCCACGCACAACTCACCATACACTTTCATCAATTGGTGATGAATTTCAATCGATTTAACACGACATGGCGGCAAGCTGGTATGACACTGGCATACAAAAACTACCACAGCATCTACAAAAGTGCATCGACTGAAATGGCAATTATGTGGAAAAATAGGTAAATGTTCAAGCTTTATAATGATGTAAAAATTATTGAAAATAAACGTTTCTTTGTATTTCTAAAAAAATAGCAAACCTTACTTTTGGGTTTACCCTCATATTTATAACATAAGCAGAGTAGATTTATGTACAGTACCTATCTAGATAAATTTTCCAGTACAGTGGTACCTCAGGATACGAACGCCCCAGCATACGAAATTTTCAGGATACGACATGAAATTCAAACATATCTTTGCTCCACGTTACGAACAAAAACTCACCATACGACATTATATTAGTTCGCAGCGCCATATTTTATTCAATTCTGTTCATCGGTCTCAGTCCGCACATTTGCTTCGTCGTGGAAGGATCTCGCTCGATAAAGGAAATCTTGAGGTATTATCAGAAAGTGACTGATTTTATTGAAAAGAAACATCCCGTAAAGGTTCACACTGGCCGTATTGCTGCTCAGTTTAATAACATTTGCCTAAGTCATTTTACCAAGCAACTGCTATCCAGTGAAAGTGCTGGTGGAAGTGAATGAAAGAAAGCAAAAAGCAGTGAATAAAAATTAAAATATATATAA